ATAAATCAATAACACGCAGGGCCTGTAAAAATATGTGATAATGAAACCAGGTAAAACAAGTAAAAAGAAAATGAGACAATCAAACAGGGAATATCTTGCAGAAGGGGTGAAAATTAATTTATGGAGAGAAAATTAAGAGATTTTATTGCACATAGTAAAACAGTACTAATGTTTAATTCCATTTCACTCAGGGCTCTTAAAGGAAATAAAATCTCAAGTATTTAAAAACGGATGTATATATGAACTAAATTTTTATAATAACAAAGTTACTAATAGTGCTAAAAGAATTCAAGGCCAACCTCAATAAAGTATCACCACAACTAGTATTTCAGTGCTTTACAACCCCAAATCAGAAAATCTTGGGATGTATGTAAAATCTAAATTAGAGCTGAAAAGAATGATTTATAAACCATCTGTGTCCTATTTTGAAAACAGTACAGCAGATTAATATTTGAAATGATACTTCATCAATTTGAGTTTTTGTTCAAAATAAACACTCAACTTCGATTGTGATGCCTGCAACACATTTCCGTGCAGGATTCTCAGTCAGCCAGGTCATAGTAAGCTGAAAAAACGTAGAAAAAAAATCAGCTAGACTTGGTTTTAGGTCAAAGACATTTCACCTCTCACTCAAGAGGAACTGGTGAAGCCTCTTGGATGAGAGGTGAAATGTCATCGACCTAAAACCAAGTGCAGTTGATTTTTTTTCTACGTTTTTTCAGCCTGCAACACATTCCAAATAAAGTTGGGACAGTAAAGCACTTATCGCGCTGTGATGTTGCCGTTCTTTTTCACAACACTTAAGTCTGTCAGGTGTCATTTTGTCCTATTCTTCCTGCACACAAGTCTTAAGGTGTGCAACAGTCCTGGATCTTTGTTGACGCAATTTATGTTTCAAAATGTGCCACACATTCTCTATTGGAGACAGGTTGGGACTGCAGGCAGGCCAGTCCAGCACTCACACCCTTTTCCTCCATAGTCAAGCCTTGGTAATGTGTGCAGTACGAGTTTTACATTGTCTTGCTGAAATATGCATGAGTGTCCCTGGAAAGGATGTCATCTTGAAGGCAACACATGTTCCTCCAAAACCTCTCTGTACTTTTCAGCATTAATAATGCCATCACAGAAGTGGAAGGTACCTTTGTCAAAGGTACTGACACAACCCCAGACCATGACAGACCCTGCCTTTTTGTTGTTTGTTGCCTGGAGCACTCAACACCCATTCCTTCCCAAAAAGAGACCTGCTATTCAGATTCATCGGACCACAACACACATTTCCACTGTGTGATGGTCCATCCCAGATGCCTCTGAGCCCAGAGTAGTCCACTGTGCTTCTGGACGCTGTTGACATAGAGCTTCCTTTTGGCACCATACAGTTTTAATTTAACATGTATGGATGTAACTACATATTGTAGTGCTTGACACAGTCACGCTGAGCCCATGTGGTTATATCACTTACAGAAGTGTGACAATTCTTGATGCAGTGTCGTCTGAGGGATCAGAGAGCACAGTCATGAGATCCCTCCAGATTCCTTGAATCTTTTAATGATGTTATGCACTGTAGAGGGTAAGATATTAAAATACCTTTCCATCTTTGGGGAACATTGTTTTTAAACATTTCAATAATTTTCTCACACACTTGGCAGTTGGCCCATCATTTCCTGAATGCTACCTTTGTACTAAATCATGATTGCAATTGCCTGTTGACATCACCCATTGCAAATGGAATCATCATGTCATTGTTCTACCTCATTACTGGCCCCGAAGTGCAGCTGTCCCAACCTTTTTGGAATGTGTTTCAGTATTGAAGTAAATGTTTATTGTGAATAAAGAATAAAATTGGTGAGATAAGACATCAAATAATGTGCTGCTGTATTGTTTTCAGTGTAATACAGGAGAGATAATTTACAATTCACTATTTTATATTTTAATTTTGATTTAAATACCATCCCAACTTTTTCTGATATGGAGTTGTAATTGAGACACTACAGAGACATGTAATCTGAACATAATAAGCAAAAGAGGAAAGCTGCTTGTGACAGGGATGATAATAAAATCTATGTGGCCCTCAGGGCTCTCCTGTGACTTCTGGAGAGCATCACTGCCACCATCGCTGTCTCCCTCATCTATGGCTGCTCTGCTTCTCTGGCTTTTTAATTACTAGATTCACCACAGGAAGACTCTTGTTATGTTCACACTGCTGCCCTGAAGTTTCACAAGTTGATATATATGGTACTTGTAGTTATTCGTGATGTTTTGTTTCTAATTTGATGAAATGTTGACATTTTTTTTGTTCAACTGGAAAATATGCTGCACCTCAGTGGGTGAACTATAACACAGCTTCACTTTTTCCCTCACTTCATGACTAAATGACAGATACAACATTTATAAAGCATTTGCTTTAGCTTTTTTTAAACCAATATTCCTACTGCAAATAATATAAGAAATTAGAATAGAAAAAAAAAACAGGTGTAAAGTAACCAGTGGCGTGCATACTTCAGCACCACTGCGATGCTGAGAGCAGCGACAAGAGAGACCATTTTCCAATGTGCACCCTCTTGTGTGAATATGTACACCTTTGTATTGCTGAGTGTTATGGTTCATACATTAAATACTGATTTTATTTTCTGTTGCCTGGCATGTGCCACAAACAGAGCACTGACTGTGACACTTAAATATTTTGAACAAAGTGAACCGTTTAAAAGGACAAAAACAATTTAGGTTGGTTTAGGTGTTAGGCATGTAGTGTTTGGGGTAGGGTTAGGGTAAGTCTCCACATCTTTTCTGACTGGTCCAGCTGACAGTGTCACAGCCGACCTGATGTTACAGCACTCCCCTGTCTCCAGTACTTGGTCATTTGATTTAATTGGCATAAATATTGTCAGAGGCCTTAAAATGTACAATGAATAATTGCAGGCCAATAAGAACATAAACAGAGATGCTATGGATCTTTTCCTTTAATTAAAATATTTCACACCCATTAACAGTAACCAGAGAACAGCTGTCAGTAGTTGTAGCATCACAGTATAAAAAGATCTAGCTGCACAGGCCAGAAACACAACAGCAACAACACATTAAAACCTGTTTCAATTGTTTTTCTAAATTTGGGGAAAAATGAACGATTTCAATGTCAAGTAATGGACTGGCACTTTTCAACTTCATTTTTCAGAAAGAACCTGTCAAAACAGGAAGACTTGAGAGACATTTCACCATATATTGTATATACAATATTAAAAAAAAAGCTTAAGGAATTAATCATTACTGCCAATAAAATGTAATATTCAACTGACAATCTTTCACACACAGGCACTGACTCTTTCCTCAATACTAATATAAAATGTTATCAGTCAAGCCTCTCGACCCATACCTAATTAAGCAGCTATTGAATACAGGGATACGGGCTGACTTTCACCACAACAACAGGCTGGAAATTGGAAAAGTTAATTCAGATAATTCCTCTGTGGATCAAGTAAAGGTTAACATTTAAATGACCAACCTTGTTTCCAGCTGGACAAGTGTCATTACTCTGGGTGGTCGGAGTGTGGTATCTTGACAACTATTGAATTAGTTGCATTTGATACACATAGGCCTATTCATGGTTTACAAAGGATTAGTCCTGATGACTTTGATGGTTAACTGACATTTTACATATCATAAGTGCCATTGGGTTGATTTTCTACCTTTTCAGTAGCACATAGAGGTTTCCCCCATGCTTTTAGTCTTTATGCAAAGCTAAGCTTATCACCTCCTGGTTCTAGCTCAAAACTTTGCATGCAAACACAAGAGCACCATCAATATTGTCACTGAACACTTGGCTACAAAGTGAAAACGCATATTTCCCAAAATATCAAATGATTTCTTTAAAATTAATGACTAAATTCCAATCAGCCACAGCTGTACTTTGAGACTGATGCTAACCTAGCAGGCTATCAGTAGCAAGACAGTGTGGCACAGTACAAAATGTAGCATAGACTCAACTAAACATTCAGTTTAGTTGAATCTATGCTACATTTTGTACTGTGCAATACTGTGCTGTACTGTACTCAACTAAACTGAATGTTTAGATGAGTACAAAATGCCCAAATCTCCACTAGCAGAAGAGTACTTCTTTCTTTAATAGCACCATCTACTGTATGATTTACTTCACCACTGGTAAGGATTCAAGTTATATCTGTTTTTAATCCACGCAATAATTCTGTGTCCATTGAAGCTTGCTAGCAAGGCTGTCGACTAGTTAAACAGGAGAGAAAATATACTTTTACAAAAACATAAAAACAGAATTTTTATAGAGCGTAGGCTACTTAGGGGGCTACACTGTGTTTTCAGTAAGAACAATAAGCAGAAGGAAAAGAAAGGTACTGCCCATTTTGTCAAGTGGGTTGATAGGAACATCATCTATTGTTCAGTATTTCTGTTATTGATAGGGGTTAAGCATCCAGGCAGCTCAAAATCTAGAATAAAAACTGTAAAAAGTGTTTAAGGCAATTGAATAAATCTCATCTATAGGGCATCAATTAATTGATACATCTTTGTTTCTCAAAACTTAAATGTAAATGTTATAACTTTCAAAGAAACAAAAGGTGATATGATTCAGTTACATATCAAGTGGGTCAGTTTTTAAAAACACCAGAAAACGTCAGTGATTTTAACTATATGAAGTCATATTAAGGTGTATTTTCCTGTGACTATTTCTATCAGTTACAATTGATATTTCCTCCAATATGGTTAGTGATAAGGTTAGGTTCAGACATGGGCAAAATTTTATTTTATTATTATTATAACTTTTTTGCCTTCTTACAATGTGGATCTGTAACGAGGCCACAGTTTGACTGAGGCAGAAGTGTTCAGATAACTTTGTTTTTGCCCTGCATTTCAATGATAATTGATACACCACATGAAAACATTCAGAGTAATTAGTTATAAAATTAGGATCAGTCAGACAATTCGCAGAGCACATCACTCCTATTCCAGGTGTATTATTATAAACATTTGCGTTAGTACCGACGTATTTTCATGCTAGAAGAAACCTCACAAAAGGTTTGAGCAGGCACTGTATGTTTCCACATTAGTATACAACAGGGATAACAACAGGTCACAGACTTTGACACAAAACCAGCCAGCAGTGTCACGGTGTATAAAGTATATGGAGAATATCAATAGCAGTGCTACAAGTGAGCTACAAACACCAGGTGAGAGGAATCCCCACAGAACTCAACAGAAGCTTTGGGGCAGTGTGTAAGACGCCTCACTAATTTGCATTACTTTGTCGTCTCTGACTGCTTTGCTCTCTGTAGTCGCTCTCATCCACTGAGCACTTGAGGCTGCAATCACATGCAATTTCTTCTAAACCCTCAGAAGAACAGCAGAGTACACCGAAAGACGAGAGGGCTGATGTTCATGTCAAAATACAATATCTTTCTCCTTTTTTTCCTTTTGTTCATATTTTGCTCTTGACATTTCTGTTTCTTTACCTGGGCTTCAATGAAGTTGAGACAGACATAATTAAAATGCCTCTCTTTCAGTACTTCTCACTTGCTGGTGCATAATTGGCATTTCACTGACACATATGTACTCGTTTCTCGTACATATATAATTATATATAGTACAAATCCATCAGACATATTAAATCAAACCATTTAAAAGTTTTTAAAACTAAATACTACATAGAAATTTAATAACTTTAGACAATGTCATGCCAGTCAAAACACACACACTTTGTCTCTCATACACATACTGTAGTGGGCTAAGGCTTTAGGGTTTCATAAAACTTTTAGCATGTGATGCAAACACCAGTGTGTTACTGACATGCCCATGCCATGCAACTGGTACTCTGCACTGTGACCAGTGTGCTACTCTTTCTCATATGAGACATTTAATACATTTACATGCACATAAGTACTGTATTTGTCTATTACCTTTGCTGTGACAAAGGCAACAGTCTGGTTGCATAAACTGAGGACTGTTAAATTCTGTTTACATGAGTGATGTATTTAATTTGATCACACCGTAAAAGTGGGACTTTTCAAAACATTGTTTGCTGTCTCACTGCAATCTAAATGAATCCAAAGGCAGTTAAAACACCAGTTAAAGCACAGGTTTACATCTATTAGACTGTTTCTGTGGAGTACTAACCTTCAAGGACTACTTAAAAAAATGTTGGAGAGAGGGATCAATTTAAGCATCTTAGAAGCTGGACATTTTAGATATCTACTGCGAGTTAGGCAACAAGTGATCCTGAGGGAATTGAGCAAAGCAGAATGGAAAGAAAAATCATCTCTGCTACAGGTTTCCTGGAGAATTTGTACAGAATAATACTAAGGTGATGTCAACTGGTCTGAATGCAGAGCAAAGATGTTGGTGCATCCATGTGGAAACAGCCCGTTGCCTAGCTGCGCAAGATTTAATCATGGTGCCCACACTGGATGAGGCATGTGTGACAGGCTGCAGCTTGAATGTCCTGGAAGTTTCTCAGATACCTCCTCTACGTTCATTAATTCAATGAATTAGATTTCATGTAATTAATAAATGTTGTTTTATAAAGACATTAAAATCCAGGTACCCCACACTGCACAAGATCTCATCTTATTGAGTAATTTTTGTCTATAATGGAGTTGTAAAACCCTTTTTAAGTGAAATTTGCAAATGCTACAATAATATTTCAACTGGTTTCCAGAGATAAACTCCTTTCAAAATGATTCTAAAAATTCAAATTTGAACGTTGCATTAGAATCACAAATTTAATTTCATTGTACTTTTATTTACTTAAAACCTGTATATTTGTTTTGGATTTGTCAAATACTTTTACAATGCACAGGCAGATTTTTAAAATGTGTTTTGAAAAGAACTAACTTTAAAGGTGCCCTGTGGAATTTTTTGGCCACTAGCATCACTATGGAGTAAGGTTTATTTGTTTTATTTTGTTTTGTTCTCATCCTGCCACTGATTTAATGCTATTCTGCTTACTTACAGTGGCTATAACACAATAGCAAAGGCAGCAATGACCCAACAGAAGCATTTGTTCATTTGGAAAGCAAAGGAGCATGTTCACAAATGAACACTGATATAAACAATGCAGGATTTAAAGTATTGAAAAAGTTGTTTCATGAGTAAAACAATGCATTCAGCACATTTGGGATACACGCAATGCCTTAAGAGAAAAACAGTGAATGGCAATATAAATTTTGTGTGTTTACTAAAAAAAAAACTCCACAGGGCAGATTTAGTTTTACAGACAAAACAGGCACTTTTACATCCACTGCATGTTACGGGGCTTTGAGTTCTTTCAGAAAGAGCATATTGACACTAACAGAATCAAATTAGAGTGATCATGGGCTTTACTCTTACTTTTGCTATAAATGGCATTATAATTTTCTTTTTGATGTTCATGTAAATGTGACTATTGTGACTGCTCTGTTTGCCCCCCCGTCCCTGTAGGAGGTGGGCCATGGCAACTGTGATCAAAGGATCATTTGCACATCAGTGCCACTTCAAAGATCACACTGATTGACAAAAGCATCTCTGTGCAGAACACATATGTAGTTAATGTAGAATTACATCCTGTGCTGCTGCAGATATGGGTCAGTATTACAATAATAAAAGCATGAAACACATGATGAACACATCGCAGGCAAGGACACCAAGACCAGTTGATGCACAGCTGTTGTCCAATGTTAGAACCAAACCTGGCTGAGGAAACTGGCTGGAAGATGGCCAAAAAATAAATAAATGTTCATCTGTTGCTCTCGAGGGCAGCTTGGTTTAATGAGCACTCATTATTGGGAGAAGGAACCAGGCAAACCTCAACCATAAATCCGTCATCCAGCCACCTACGTCAAGGGAATGGTTTTGTGAAGCCTATCTTCTTTCTACGAATCTGTCTGTTCTTAGAAAGCCTTTGTTTTCAATTCTTTATTGTCACTGCTTTAATTTATCTGAATAAAAGGAGCAGACTGTGTAGAAACCAGTGCAAAGCACTTAAGTTTCAGTTGGTATCCTTGGTTTTTGCCTTCTTTGACCTCCAGGTCACTTTACAGCCCTGGGAGCAGCTTTGTTAGAGGCACCTCTCGCTCTCCCAGCAGTGTGTTTCTTTTGAGGCTGGTCCCTTTGTTCACCACCTTGAACTTCACTGATAGGTTCTTCACCTGAACTGAGCTTATCGAGTCAAAGAAGAAATCCTCATTGAAAACCGGGTTGCGGCTGTTCTTGATTATGTTGCTCCGTTGCTTCTGGAGTTTTCTCGGGTTCAGGTAGATGGACACGCAGCAGTTGATGCTTTTGATGTCAAAGTGTTTATCGTAAAGACTCTCTGCTGCCAGGACCCGGATGAGCAGACGGGAGGTGCTGGAGTCATAGTTGACATTGATCCTCACAATCCCGCCTTTGTGCAGATTGATGGTGTGCTCCCGGTAGAGGCTGTGGTCAGATGCTCCGGCTCCACCGTGAAAGGATGGGACATGGAGCCGTCGCTGGATGTTGGGGCTTGGCTCAGCTGAGCTGCACTCGTCAGTGGACAGGGAGCTGTGACGAGCAAACGTCCGCTTGGCTTTCACGACTTTGGCTTGTGTCTCATGGGTGAAGATTTTGAGCAGGGAGGCAGAGCGTGAGAGCAGAGGAGAACTGAAGGGGGAAGACTCAGCTGAGGAGCAGGTGTCACTCTCTCCACCGCTGAAGTACCGATAAGGATTCATGTGAGAGGTGTTGCAGTCAGCTGGATTCAGATGGTTTCCTCCTTCACAGCCCTTCCCAGGAGTCTTCCTCTGGATGTTTGGGGAAGTCATGGGACTGGTAAGCTCGCAGTGGAACAGTGACTCTTTACGACGAGTGTGAGGGCTTTCCTTCAAGGTTGCAAAGCCATAAGATGTTTGAGTTTTGGGAACATAAGGGAGGGACATAGCTGTCTGCGACTGTGGGTCTGCATTGGTGTCACCAGCTATGACATCATCTGCACTCTCTATCTGTATGATGTGGCGGTTTGCTGCTCTCAGCAAGTTCTTGGTGTCTCCTGTGATCTTGGCCACCAGACGTGGGCTTCTTGGGCTGCTGATCTTCCTCCCACTGCCAATGGTTTGCTCTGAGGGGGATGGTTCCAGCCCCCCTTTGGCCTTCGGATTAGGAATGTCGGGTTCTGGAGGGCAGCTGACCAGCTTTGGAGGAATAAAAAATTCAGGGATTTTGTCAGGGGTGAGGACGTTGCTGTAGGCTGGGGCAACACCTTTCTTGTCCACGTTCTCCCCCTGCCGCTGCACACTTGTCTCAACCGTACCGCGGATCTTATCCAGAACCCACATGGTCCCACCAGAGAGTGGGATGTGTGGGCTAGGTGCAGTCAGGAGTGTCTGGAATTAATAAGACAATGGGTGTTGGGGGGTGGGTAATCAGAGGAGGGTTACTCGACAGAGGGCAGAGGTAAAAATAACACAAGGTGTTTCAGCCCTGATGTGCAAACACCAGCCGTCTATGGTTAAACCCTGTGTATTTAAAGGATTAGGACTGATTAAATACTGTAAATAGAGGATACTGAACGATGAATGAACTTTTGGATCTACTGACTACAGATGCTATGGAGTAAAAGCTCACAGAGATAAATACTAAATCTTTAAAAGTCTTTTGAAGAACTGCAGTTCATTTACTCAGGTTGCTGCACTTTACTAAAGGGAGACATGTGAAATCTTGAAACTGCATAATGACAATCTTTATTAGATATCCGAGTCAAGAATTAAACAATATTACAGTGTTTACAACAAAACACAGTCATGGGTGTTTTTTAAAAATTATTTTTTAGAAAGGAGACAGACTTCATTGATAGGTGAAAAACGCGAGTCTAAGAAAATATGAACTGTCTTGGCTTAATAATGGCCAAAATTTTAAGTTACGTTTCATGTTCATGTTACTATTTATCGAACTGTTAACAGAACTGTTTATTCTTTAAATTATAAAAATTAGGACGTTCGTCACTACACATGCACAGGATAATAAATAAAAGTTCGGAAAAATCATGCTTCAGTTGATTTTGGCCAAACTATGTTGGCGATCATCTTTCTGCTTAGTTTGAACAGATGGTCTTGTGCGTTTTAAGCGAAAAAAGTTGAAACCTTTTCAGCAAATGATTTAAATAAAAATTCAACAGGTACGACCCCCTTGACGCACCAGTCCGTTTCCCACAACCTCCTAAATTTAACATGGCTTTGAAATGTGAGACTACACACTACTCCTATCTGCAGAAACTCACAAATAATATACTTACAGTGCTAGAGAAAAGGACCCACTCCTCTTTGTCCACTCGCTTCGTCCGTAACAGGTCTCTTTTGGCTCAGTTCGTGCGCTCCGCTGTGCTGCTGCCCTGCGCCTGCAGACAGTCTCGGCACCGGAACTCCTGTGGTGCGTTTTATAGACTGCAGGGCTGCAGCTGACCAATAAGATCAAACTGTACGTTTCCGTGTTTGCCAGCAGAACCAGCTAGAAAACATACTGGTCATGTATGAGGAGCCGAGGCGCGTTTAACGCATTTAAGCAGCCGTCACCGCAGTAAGAGCTGCTCCATACTCAACAAATCTGAGAATATTTGTACTGTTTTGTCGTATTACCTGAGTGCATACGGATGTCATCAACTCTGCTTTACTCGTTTTCTTTTCCCAGGAATGAAAACTGTTTTTGTTTTTACTTCTTATCCTAGTTTCTCTCTTTGAACTAGGTTCACATTTTCAACCAAGGACTAGAACACGAGACGTGACACTTTGTTCCTCAGCCCAAGCTCCATTATAAAAAGGCCAAATTTGCTAGTATTTATTCTACTAGCACACGCACTAAGGCGCTTTTGTGTGTCATTAAGCCATTATCTTTAATAAGACTCTCCATATTTGACCAGAAAAAGCAGCTTCAGCTGAGCAGAGAATGTGGTGTGGAGCACATGCACCTGTGTGCCCTGTGATCCAAGTCATCTTACAGCAGCTTTTTTTTTTGTTTGTTTTAAATCCCTTATGGTCTGTTTTTTTGTCTGTCTGTCCTCAGGTTTAGGCCAACTGATCAGTTTCCCTGGAAACTTTGCTATGGCAACAAATACATTTGTCTGTCTGAAATAGGTAGGATCCCACTGATTTCATTGATCTGCAGGACAAAACTAACTGTTTGACCAGATGCTTGGTTCCGAGTCAAATGTAACCACAGACTGAGGGGTACAGTCATTGCTTTATTAGATATCCAAGCCAAAAAACAGCCCTGGAATAGGCAGCTCAGCTCCACCTGTCTCTGTCTGACTCGGATGGAAAATGAGATGCGCTCGATTGTTCTGGACTGAGCTGCCCTTCTTGTCACAGCTAACTAGGAGGCCCCAGAGCAAAACAAGCAGAACTTTAATCCAGCAACTCATGCACTGTAAACCTCCAGTTGAAGTTCAGGCCCATGAAAACTCATCAGATTTGAGGTATTTATTCATAAAATCAAATATTGACTACACAGGCAACATAGTCCCCAGATATTAAAACACGCAATGCGGATTGCCAGTGTCAGTTCACTTTTTTGTTGACAAATTAATTTCTTAGCAATAAAGCCTCAGAAAACATATAAATGCTCAGCACAATTTCCCAGAGCTTAAGGTCACATCTTCAAACTAAAACCCAAAAATATAAAAGCTAGTGTTATAAAATAGAGAAAATGACACTGGCATTAGAACTGCAAAAGATGTGCTTCACTTTTTGTCTCAGCTGTTATATATTAAGTATTCAGTGATTTAGTGTCTGTTCTTTTTGTCAATGCTTTAAAATCTTGTTAAAAAGTTATATCCCCCACCAAACTGCATGAAAAAAACAAAACAGCCAAAAAAGCTGTTGAAAAGAAGTTGGAACCAGTGAATGGTTGAGAAATAATTTGGATTTCCAAAATAATAATTGGTCTGCCCATTAACTAATTTAATAATCTATTAATGTTTTTTTTTCAGAATTAAAAAAAAAAAAAAGAGAGAAAAAAAACTACCTTATGAATCCAACATAAGTGAGAAAATTACATGTTTAAAATGTTTATTAAAATAGAAACAAAATCTGTTGGGGAATAATTGAACATCACAGACCTCCAGGCTCACACTGTTAACAGTTTCCTTTACAAAATAATGGGATCAGTCCACAAGCATCTGAGAATCTTCAGCGATGAGATGAGGACAGGCTACAGCCTGAGAAAAGGTTAATGTGTCTGTTCTGGGCTCATTAAGGGGCTGGATCCTACATCTCTGTCTGTCTGAAAATGTGAGGAACACTTAAACCCAGAAGTACAGAAGTGAACAGCACAGGTCAGGCTCACTGTGGCTGTGCTTGCTTGTTCTACCTGTGGATAAATGTACCTACAGGTACACACACACACACACACACACACACACCCACCCCAGCTGAAAGAGTCAATTCACAGATTGTGGCACACTGTGATGCAACATCTACCCTTCTGACATCAATCGACTCCCTGTCCTTCCAAGAAGCCAATCGGATGTATGCAGAAATGAGGCTGTGAAACTCA